TTAATGAATCAAAAGTTTAGATCCATTGGGTATTATCTGATAGTTCATTGTACAGTAACCCATAGCATATTCTATGTTTGAAGGGGTCGAACTGTGATAGAAATATTAACATGTCCAAAAGAAAGGGGCCAGGTCCAAAATGGGACAGTTTTACATCCTACCAGAGCCAACCCATTGCCCTGGTAAGCCAGTTCAGCCATCCAGGGAAATAGCTTTCTTCTTTAATTTTTTTTATTTACTTCTTTTTTGGTAAGTAAGATTGTTTAGAACTTTTCTTCTTTTACTATTATCAGTATACATCCTGCATTAAATGAAGAACGATACTAGAACATATGTCTAAGACTCTAAACAAGAAACACAAATTATACTCAATACAAACTTAACCAAGGGATACAAACTTAACCAAGGAATCAAGTAATCTACAAACTTAAAGATGCTCCACTAAAAATAACAAATAGCATTGCCCACTAAATTTCAGGAGTATTTCCTTCCGTTTCGCATTGAATGCTCTCTCTTCAGACCTCCCACATTCTTTCCATATTCTAAATTATGCAAAGTGACCTTTGCAGTCCATCTCAAACTCTCTGGCTTATAAACAGTAGGAGGAGGTTGAAACCATCTATTCATGCCTTTTGCACAATTAGCACCTAGTAACGAGGACACTTTTCTATCAACTTAGGGTCCAGTGGTATCTAATTTACTTTTCAAGTGGAAGGTTGAGGGCTTAGTCCCCCAAGGAGCAATCGCGGGTGCGTGTCTTACTTACCAGAATTGTCAACAAAAAAAATAATTAAATACAAATAAAAATTCACGACGGCTGTTCAAACCCCACCCCCCCAAAAAAAAAAAAAAAAACTCAAAATAATAATAATAATAAATCTAAAGAAGACTAACTAGGAAAGTGCTAACCCGTCTCCACATAATAGTGTCCTCCTAATCTCTATTCAACTCAACTAACAAAATTATTCAAAAATAGAATGTACAGCCTCCATTTACATGTCCTTTCAATTCCTTCAAAAATTCACCACCACCAATGCATCATATCTCCCTCTCACTGGACACAATCTCCCACCAAAGAAATTTTGCTTCATCTATAAAGTTACATGCAACGAACTCTTCTCCCAAGGGATAGCGCTGTGCATTGTATTTTTCCAAACATTTCAGGGCAACTGTTAGAGGGGCATTCTCTAACTTCAATAATACTCTGACATTCATAGTGTTTGCTGTTTCAATTTCTCAGTACTAAGAGGAAGACCATTTCATGGCTAAGATAGGTATCTGTCTTTCTCTTAATTTAACATAACTCTCATATGTAAACTTGAAATTACATTCTTGCATATGAATTCAAAGTGCAGGAGTGTTAATTGTCCCTTTTATATCGCCTATAGGAAAAAAATTCAAACATCTCTTCGGATTTTTTATTAACCAACCTCTTCTAATCAGTTGAGACATTTTTTAAAAAGAAAATTACAAATAAATTTTTCTAAACAGGTGGCTCAAATCATTTCACTGAATTGGGTTGAAAGTCAGAATTGGATGAGTTTTCTAACTCCATCGTTAATAGGCTGAATCCTTCTTCAATGTTTTATTCTAAAACCTACCTCTCCTAATCCGTTGAGACAGTTTAGTACTTAAAATTACAGAGGAATTTTCGTAAACAGGTGCCTCAAATCGTTTCACTGAATAGGGGGAAATTTGAAAGTCAAAACTGATATGGGGTTTTAAGTTCTATCCCCATCATTAATGGGTTGAATCCATTTAGCAGTTTGAACTAATCAAATCTAATTGATGTCCAATCCCAGCCCAAACCACTATTGCCCATTCTAATCCAATCTTAGTGATTTTCCCACTTGGGAAAATTTACGGAGCACCCAACTAGATCATAATGTAGCATTTTGCTAAAACTTCAAAATATTTTATCATGACCATTTGGATCACCTAAAGAAATCTAGATGAGTGTAATTAGGGAGAGAGAGAGAGAGAGAAGGAAAAACAACCGTAATTGCATGGGTCACGGATCACGGTCTATTTCAAGAGGAAGTAGCTACATGCTTCACTATTATAGCCCTGAAACAGGTAAACCACTAAGAAAATATATCTGAGCTTACAAAGAGTCATGTTCAAGTACGAGAGAAGGCAGCGATCTATTTCACCATCGCATCCCTGAAACAGGCTAACCCACTAAGAGAATGCCTATGTGCTTTTAGTATCTGAAAGAATGGAATGGTAGAAATGATCCTGAAAAAACGCTCAAGAGACACAGGGAAATCCCACCATGATGAAGACATCTATGACATTTTCATGGCTCTCAAAGCTGACTACTGACATCTTGTCTAATCAAACAAAGCTACTCCAGTCTTATAGTGCATCAAGTGGAGTAAACTTCTCTAGTAATTGTTCCACTCAAGTTTACCTGAAATGGGGACATTACCATGCAGGAACTGGAACAAGGACATATAGGCCTCATTTTAGATATTGTACAAGATAGGCGTTTATAAATGGAACGTAACTGGGATGTTATGAAGATGTTTCTGGAGTTTTATCTTATAACCCAGCAAGGAATAACGATAATGAGCACTATTTAAGTGCAAATTGCAAATATAGTTATGGAAACTTGTAATAGTTGAATGATACTTGTAAAAGCATTAAACTAAACAGAGACAACTTGTAATTGAGCCCTCATTTACTAATCTCATTTCTTATTACTATCCCTACTTAAAAGAAAATTTAGGGAGGAAATAAGAAAATATATTTGAACCTATCAATCTCCAGTAAACAGGAGTGTCCTATGTTTCTGCTAAATGTATCCAAATCGCAGTTAGACAGGGATGCAGGGTTATGACTTATTCCGTAACTTCAGTATCATCTCATATGTTTTAGTTAGCATTTAGCAAGAAGAAAATGAAATATTATATGGTTATCAGCTATTCAAAATGTGATATCAGAAACATGTGAGAAGTGTTGGTGATTAATACGCATTAAAACAAAGTTGAAGAAATAACTTCGGTATAATTCATTTAGAAATCTGTGCTGATTAATACTTTACATATCCAATAAAACTGCCCATCATGCTACTTAAGTCTCCTAGATTGCCAACCTTTCTTCGCGAACTCGATACCAAACCACCCCCCCCTCTCCCCAAAACCAAAAACCAAAAAAAAAAAAAAAAAAAAGGTTGCTGGACCAACTGCAGAATCACTACCCTTTCCATGACTGCACAATCACTCATGTTGGAGGGTTTTAAATCTTTAACGGCCATATATTTGTTCGTAGCTGTGAGAGGCAAGTTTCCAAAGCCATGATACATATCTATATTGACATGGTTATCATGTATTATTGTTAATGATATTGTTATAATCGATAAAAGTAGAGGAGTAAATGCTAAATGGAATATTTGGAGGGAAGCTCTAGACTAAAAGGATTTAAGATAAGTAAGAATAAAATAGAATATACTAGGGCAAAAAAAATATAATATATAGTGTAACCAGTAATTCTAGAAATATAAATAGGGATTTAGTGAAGATTGAGGATCAATATCTCCACTAATTAGGCTCAATTATTCACAATGAGAAATTAGAAATGATGTCAATCATATAATCAAGACAGTATTGGTTAAATGAAGGAAAGCTTTTGGAATATTGTGTGATCACCATATCCCACTAAGATTGAAAGAGAAATTCTATAAACAGTTATTAGACCAGACATTCTTTATGGTATAGAATGTTGGACAGCAAAAACGACCTATGTATAAAGTGGGTGTGGCGTAAATGCCAATGTTGCGCAAGATGAGAAGGATAGAATTAATAATAAGCACATTCATAAGATGATTGAGTAACACTTGGTGGAGATAAAATGGGAAAAAATTGATTAAGATGATCTGGACGTGAGCAAAGAAGACTACAAGAGTGATATATTCCACACTGAAGGAAACGCTAGGAGAACAGAAGGACCAAAATTTATATAGATAAGAGTTGGAAAATACATATATGACAACTTGGAGTTTGACTAAGGTCATAGAGTATAATGAAAAAATAAAATTCATGTAGCGAGCACCAAGTAGATTGAAAAAGGATTTGTTGAGTGGAGCTGAGGAAATCATGTTCCAAAAACTTCTCAAACCAAAAGATTTGCAAGGAAAAAGAAGATTTTACATATGGCAGTCAATATGTACTTAAATTTTCTAGATCTTTTGATGCCATCACACCAATAGATTTCACATAATTAAGGAGCCATACATTTATTTGACCAAGCACTATTTTAATCATAATTGGCCAAATAAAAAACTATTTTCCAATTATTTGATAAAGAATGAATGAAGTACTTCATAGAACAAAGGCGCATAAAAACAAAAATGGAAGCAACAGTGCCATTAACAGAATTTTCACATGTTAGCTCTAAAGTGTTATCTTAGTATCATTAAGGCCAAATGTGTTCCTCAACGGTGTTTCCGATGCTTATTCTATTAACTATATTTGATATTGCACAATTAATTATTACTTAAAAGGAAAATTCCACTTCCAAAGGAATTGAGAATTATGTTAAAAGACTTGAGTTATCACAGAATGCTGAATGTACCAAATAAAAAGGGGTTCCAACTTTTCAACAAATTTGCAGTACAGTTGACTACTACTGGTTCAACACTAAAATTTTTGCAGCACTTAATTTCAGTTTATGAAATAGCACCACAGTTTTTCATAACAAACAATAATACTGAAGAAAGATGCATTCAATTCTTCGCCTCTCAGAAACGCAAAAAGTTTCCATCCCCCATCAAATGCTTCACAGAAAAGACAACTGCATTGTGAAATAACACACTGAATACAAGATCAATGCCAAATAGGTAAAACAGTGAATAATGTACTAAAGCTACAACAAAAAAGAGTTAGTACATACGAATCTCAAACTTTAGAAAGAGAAATAAGTGAGACACGACAAGCTAATGTAAGTCAAAACTGAAAACAAATGTTTATACTGCTACCAAGATAGGAAGTAGGGCTTACCTCAGTGCATCATATTCCTCAAATACTGCAGCACACCACAAAAAGAAATGCAGCAACACCTTAAAGGATTAGTTAGTTACAGATACGAAGCTTCCCCAGCCATTCATCAGCCACCCCATAATCAAGACTGATTTCCCTCAAAGGAGGGATGTTCTCCATCGCGAACAGCATAATGTGAGGGAACAATAAATTATTGTGATCATATAACACGAACTGCACCAGAACATTAGGAGTTGAACTGTGGCTCATGTAACAAGCAACATTCCTCATCCTAGACACATCGAATGCAAAATCCAGAGGAGGAATAGATGGATACGCTGGACGGACATAATCAGAAAATATTCTTGTCAAATCCCCCCATTCTGCCCATCTCTCAGCAAACCGATTCGGGTAAACCAATTTATCACCATTCATGGTAAAAACTTCGGCTTGGTCCCTTGTGAGAACAACTCCAGCATACTCACAGATAAAAGCACCAGCTTGAATCAAATCCAATGATCTAACTCCCCAACCGGTTTCCCTCGACCTAAACACTTCAAATCTATTCGTCACCCCTTTTTGGCTCACACGATTCCGACAAGTTGGCGGACAACGACAATGAGTCCCACATTCAAAAATTAATGGTTTCCCTCTCAACAGAATCCCATTTCTATCATAAGCAAACTCACCTCCATTTTTCAAAGCACACAAGCAATCATCCAAACATTCAGAAACACATTCACACCCACTACCATTACCACCCTGATAATATGCATAAGGGGGGAAAACAGTTGTCACAAGATATTCAAAATACAACGGCGTATGATCACTATCTATATCATTATATAGAAAAACTGGTACTTTTTCCTTCTTCATTGAAATATCAAAACTAATATTACCCATTGGTCTAACAGTCAGCGGTCTAGTCCTCAGATTGTCAGCAAACCTGAGAATTGCACTTCCCATTTCGGGTTGACCATCCATTCTTATAAGCTTAAACTTATATACTCCAAAACCAGACTTACCCACATCAAACCATGAATCAATAATTCTATATAATCCATCATAAACATAAACCTTACCATTAAGGCTGCCATGATATCTAAGCCCTCGAATTACCCTCACTTCAATGCCGTAATGCATGCTGCGCTCCAACGCCAAATTCCCACGTTCCAGCTTCTGATGAACACATTGCCTATTATGCTTATCTTGCCCGCCTTGCCCTGTATATATAATTACATCACCTCTGTCCTCATCGTCCTCATACCCACCAGACACAATGACACTCGTCGCAATTGGCTCGCCGTTGGAGCTCTGGCTCGCGGTCACGTAGTCAATTCCGGCCTGAGGTTGACCATGCAATCCAACAACACACAATTCCATACGGAAAAAGAACAAATCCCCAATGTGAACCCCTGGGATGGAACCCACAACCCGTTTATCGCGGTTCAACCACAAACCATTGTCCTTCAACACCTGTGCGGCCTTCAAATCGCCCCGAGCCTGTCTTCCAAGCCCACCCCTTCTCTTCTCCTCCTCTGCGACCCAAAATATTCGCAGCGAATCATAGAGCATCCTCGTCCTCCTCACGACGTCGCGGAAGTACCTCTGGTCTTCAAGCTTGAGATCTGTGATTCGAACCAATTCGGAGGAACGTGCATTTCTCCTCCGCGACGACGACGAAACAACATCAACGGACAGCTGATTCTCCGCCGGCACTGGAACGATTGCCCGCGAATCAGGATCGGAAACATGGACATCGCCGGACTGGTTGCCGAAAGCAGATAGGAAAAGCTCAGAAACCCGGTAGAATTCAGAGTAAACGTCGTTTTCTTCGGTGGAATTGTTTTCCGGGGTTTGAGAGAGAGCGTTAGGGTCTGTGTTTGGATCAGAAAAGGGAGTGTTTGGCTGAGAATTGAAGGAAATGATTGGGTTAGGGCTTGAAAAATGGGGAAATTGATGAGGTGGTTCGTCGAGCGGCTCGAGTTTCGGTTCAATTTTAGGGACGATGGCTGTGACGGCGGCGGCGGCGGCGGCGGTGGATGTGGTGGGGTCAGGGATGGGGTCAGGGAAGAGGTTGAGGTCTATAAGAGAGCCCATTTTTTTTTTTAAGAGCGAGAGAGAATTTTAGTGGGAGAATCTCAGAGAAGGTAGATTGAGGTTCTGGTCATGGAAGAGAGGTGGTTAGGGTTCAGGAGAGAGAGTTTGAAGGTGTGACAATGGTAGATGTCTTAGCTGAAAAAAATGGAAGCTGATGTGAGCAGAATTTTAGAGAGAGAAAGTACAAGTGAGCAGACAATTTAAATTTAGTGTCAGAACTAAAAAAAAATGGCGAGTAAAACTAGATTGAGTTAAAGTTAGTTGACTGAATTGCCCCTGAGGCCCTGACTGAGTTTGGCGTAAGCCCTGTTTGGATTTGCTTTAAAGGGTCGGAAGTCATTTTCTTGTAAAGTTTTACTCGATACTCCCTCTATCCAAAAAAAAATAATAATAATAAAAATGATCGTGTTTGGGGATTCGTGATATTTTATTTTTGAGATAGACAGAGTATTTAGTTAAGTTTGAAGATTTATCATTTAGGATTTAAATGAAAAAACTCTCAAAAAAGTAAGATTAATGGATCATAAAGAAAAAAATTTAAAACTTAATTAGGAAAAAAAGTAGGATTTAGTGGTAATTTTTTTATTTACTCAGTATTAAAAAATAAATCATACCAATAAGTCCTACTTTTAAAAAAAAATTCTATTCAAATCCTAATATGGGACATGAGAGTAAATTAGTGAGTGTTTGGGATTGTTCCTCTATTACTGAAAAGTACTTATATTCTAAAAAAAAAAAATGACTCTTATAGATGATAGAGGTTAGATCTAAAAAGCCGTTTAAGTAAAGTTAGGAATCATAACTTTAAAAATTACGTCAAGATAGTGGTCCATGATTTTAGGTAACTAATTTTCTTTTAGACAATTTAATCCCTTTATATTTTTTATAAATACAATTGTATCCCTTCTACAAACAAATAGCAAACAATATAAACTCTGTAACAAACTAAAATCCTAATTTATTTTGGGACTCTCCAGCCTTCCAATCTCAGTTTATTTTGGGACTCCGAATTATATAATTGTTAGGGGTTTAATTTTTAATAAATTATGATTTATAATTTGTTTTTAAACTAACTATAATACATTTATACTATAAAAATTTCACTTAAACTTCATATATATCCTTATAAAATTAGACAAAAAATTCGAATAAAAAGAAAAAATACATGTTAATTACAAAAATTTACTCTATTTAATAAGGGTATAAATGAAAAATGTAGTGAATTAAAACATAAAAATAATAATTCTCAAAAGGATGACTTATTAGTAAAAAATAAAAAAAATTTATGACTTATTGATCTTTCAATCATAAAAGTAAGACTCAGTAGTACTTTTTCAAATAAAATATCAAAATAGTATCTTACAATGCTTCTAAAAGAGTGTCACCCTCACACTTTGCATAAGAATTGCTTTTATGAAAGCAAATTCTTATAAATTTTATTTTGTCAATTCTCAAATTTAATTTGCGCAAATTCTAAACAATTTGTTATTCATTGAATTATAGACAAATATATGTGATATTTATTATGAATGTCAATTACCAAGATGTATCTAATATAAAATAAAAATGGTAATAATAGTGAAAAATTAAGAATAAACATACAATATTTTAAAAAAACAACAAATCATTGCCATATTGTTATCCGCTTTATATTAGTCACTTGAAAAATGTTCAAATATAACTCTAAAAAAATTTATTTATTTATTTATTTTTAAATTTAAAATAGACAAATAATTTTTTTAATTCACCCATTTGTGTGTTTGGAATAAGCTGAAATTTAATTTTCAAAATAAAAAAATAAAATACTAGCTTTTACCATATTATCGTTATTAATTAGATTTCCAATCTTATATTTGACTAAAAAGACGAAAAATTTAGGTACCTGCAAAGTTTTAAGTCAACCAATTTACAAATTATCAAATTCCAACCATTTTCATGAGATTTGATAACACTATAAAATTATTTTATTTTAAAATATAAAAATAACCATTTTTTTTTTTTGTATCATAAACAACCAGTACTTAGATTTAAGATAATAATTTTAAAAATCATGCTACACTTGTCTAGACTCTAGAGTCAGTAATCACCAAGCGATATGAGTGTGCGGACCACCATCTTTATCTGTTATTGACAAAGAAAATTTTGTCAATCCAATTATTAATATCGCAACAAAAATTAATGAATATTTTTTATCATTATACTCTAAAACTAATGATAAGTGCAGGAGTTCTTGCAATTAATGAATATTTTTTTATCAAGAACTCCTGCACTTATCAAGAGTTGATAACCGACCAAGGACGTATCTCCGAACTAAAATTATCATTTTTTTTTTCAACAACCCACACCCCACATCTCTCAACAGCCCACACTCCACATCTCTCAATCGATTGTCAAATGTGGATCGTTTATACACATTTCAACGCAACTCCCTCGTTACAGTCAGGCCAATTTGCCGCCTTCCTGGGGAGGAGATTCGAATATCTCCGGGCGAGGCACTTAGCGTGATACCGAATTAAGGACTAAATCTAACTCTTATACTAATTGTAAAGGGTAGACACTTGCCCTATTTACCCAAAAAACTCAAGTTGTTGAGTAATACTGCATACACACCCATTTATACACATTTCAATTTTCATCTGAATCCGAGGTGGGACAAATCCCACTTGCAACAACAAACTGCCACAACAACTCACACTCTTTCCAATCCATTGTCGATATTTGGTAAATTTAGAATTTAACTGACTCTATAACATTTTCAAGACAATTTCAAATGAAATTACATAATTATAAAATAAAGGGGTCAATGGATATTAAGAAAGTTACATTATGTGAAAAAAAAATAAAAATAAAAATAAAAAACCAAGAAACAAATGACATTCCCCAATTCATTTGCATTAATAATAAACCTAATTTGTTCCATTCACACTGAATGTCATGAGATAATAAACCTACTTAGTTGTACCCCTTGAAAATTTTGACTCAATGCCATCATTTATCTTTAAGTCATTTGAAATCATTTTTAGTTATATTCCTTTTATATACTTATATACTATCTTCATTTCATATTAGATGTCCACTTCGATAATTTTGATTCATAACAATTATGAGTCAAAATTTTTGAAGTGGACAACTAATATGTGCAACAACTTAAATATACGGTATTGGAGCTAGAATTACCGCGACTGCTGGCACCAGACTTGCCCTCCAATGGATCCTCATTAAGGGATTTAGATTGTACTCATTCCAATTACCAGATTCGATGAGCCCGGTATGTACTTCCTTGGATGTGGTAGCCGTTTCTCAGGCTCCCTCTCCAGAATCAAACCCTAATTCTCCGTCACCCGTCACCACTATAGTAGGCCGCTATCTTACCATCGAAAGTTGATAAGGCAGAAATTTGAATGATGCGTCGCCGGCAGAGATAGTAATTTGTTTTTAATTACTAAATTATTCTTTTAATTTTGAGTTGTGAAAAAAAAAAAAAAAAATTGATTTTTATTTTTTATAACTCCTACATGTATTTTGGGACTGCCCCCAAGATAATTAAGCTTTCAACCTAAAATGAAAACAATTAAAGTCTAACACTACAAAAATAGATTGTCATTTTCCTTTACATTTAGGCTAAACAAAAACTTTCCTTTACATTTTGTCATTGTCTATAAGAAAATAGCTCTCTTTTTAAGACTCCATTTGTTTGTTTCGACGTAAAATATTAAATTTTTTTTTTTTAAGTAAAATATTCTTTTATTTTTATTTTTTTGATGTTTGACAAAGTTTTACGTTGAAGTTGAGGTCAAATCCATCGGGTGGGGCATGTAAAATAAATTATCAAAATTTAATAAATAAGTTATTTTTATTAACTTTTGATATTATTTTTTTTCGTAAATATTTTACGACAATCAAACACCAGAAAATAAAAAAATATTTTTAAAAAAATATTTTACTTCCAAACAAATAAGGCCTAAATGACAATAATAGGGATTTTTTTCCTTCTTTTTCTTGTCGGGTAAAACAATAACATAGAATTTGAGAATATTTGCACTTCCCATGAAAAAATAAAAATTATTTAGTACTGCAGTAATAATTGGTTAATAGAAATGTATTTTATAATAAGGTTTTATCCTATAATGAAATTAGTATCGTAAATAAAATAGAGTACATTACAATTAACATAGTTTTAATTATTTTTCTTCCTGTAATTGGAGTTTTAAATTGATTATAAGAAATTGAAAATTGTTTAAATTAATGTAACTTATGCATTAATTATGAAGTTAATAAACTAGAAGAATCCAAGATTCCAAGTTAGGAACCAACATCAGCAAGTTTTACAACCGTCACCATCCTATAGTAGGTGAGTTTGAAATAAAATAAAATAAAAAGATTAGTGGACCCCATTAAAAAGGTGGGGTTTCTATTCACCATTAAATGACATCATTATAAGATTAATGTGGATTAAAAAAACATTTAGAAACTATTTAATTTATACTGGGGTAAGGTAAAGTGTAAAAAAATTTCAACTATATCGTAATTTTTAAGTAACCTCTTTGAAGTATATTTTATGCATGATACCCTTTGAACTATCGCAATTTGTTGCAAAATGACTCTATGTCTAGGTTATTTTTCAATAAATGACCGTAATACTATTTCTTATTAAATTACATTTAATTTTGCTGTCGGTTTCCTTGATGGAGTCGCCACAACCAACAAAGCTTGAGAGTTGTGTGTGTTTAGGAGGTGGCCAAGTTTTACATTTATAAAAAGCCACTACTACCTTTCTCTATATAAAATATAGATAGGGCGAGTAGGGATCGTCCCAAGGGATTTGATGGTGTATCGAATTGTGAAACTATGGTAATTACGGTTAGTAGGTCAAGTGATCACACAATTGGTTGGTTGGTTGATTAAGCTAAATTGAATTCAACTAAATAAAATAATATGAGGTAAATAAGAGAGAGAGGTCTTGGGGTGTAGAGATCACCACCAAGCAATACTTTTCTATACTACTAACAAGTGATCAATTGAGGGTAATGGATGTGTTGCAATATGATAAGGGTGTGTGTGCATTAGGTTGATTCAATTGGCAAGGATGACAAATCAAGCAAGTATTGTCTAAACATCATGTGAAGAGCACAATATATCTAAGCAATAGAGCATATATTGTCTAGACAACATGGGGATAGCACAATAGATCAAAACAAGTCATT